ACAAAAAAGGGAAAGATTGTTGGCCCGTTTGAGGTGCTAAAAAGTTTTTTTGGCAAGCAAATTTAAAAGCAAATTGTTTTGGGTTTTCCTGTATTCTGTTATTTACCAGCAGAGCTGCCTTTGCGGCGAAGTAGATTGCCTTTCAGATGATTTTATTGCAATTTTCAGCCAGGCCAGGCTCCTTTCATTAGCTGTTTGCTGTCTAGACCAGGCCAACAGCGGAAGCTACAAATATTTTGCAAATGGTAGCAAATGGAAGGGGTCTTACCAGAAAATAATTAAAAGCTTAACAGATTAATAAAGTACAAGAAGGAGAAAGACTGATAACCCCGGCTTTAAGAGTCACAAAATGGTTAATGAAAACTTCAAAAAGCCAACTCTGATTTTGAATCATTCAAGTTAACTACTTAAAGAACACATTTACTTAATTGCAATAGATAATGAAACATCAGCGCAGCATCCAAACAGCGGCAATTAATTTCCGCAAGTAAAAAGTTGCCATGCCATGTGGAAAGTTTATATTTTTCACTCTCTTTTTTTGTCCACATTACTTTTCCTACCTTTGTTTCCCCATTCACGCGCTTTTCTCTCTCTCTCTCTATATGATATCCTTTTTTTTGTTATATTTTTTGCGTGATAAATCTCAATGTAAAAATTTTCACACACATAGAAAGTGAGAGAGGGAGAGAGGAGAGAAAAACAGCGGGAAAAAGCGTGGAAAAATAAACGCCACCCCAAATGCCAATAAAGGCGCCCACATATGCAGAGGAGCAGCGCTGGGGCACGTTTGAGTTTCACGTGAAAGCATTTTTAATCAAAATTCTCAACAGGCTAAAGCAGCGCGAGATCAAAAACACTTGCCACAGCGATGTGTGTGTATGTTTGTGTGTTTGTATACACATATACGAGGTGTGTTCAAAAAGTAAGGTGACTTTTCAAATTTCTCGGGCAACATATTTTCGATTATCGTTTTTTTTGTTTTGTTATATTGGTACACTCTTCCCTAACATCTGTACCAAGTTTCAATGGAACATCCTCTTTTGTTTGGTTGTGAGAGGCGTAAAGTTACAAGTTGTTTTGCGAGCTCGGCGATTTTTTGCTTTTTTCGGTCTTGGCTCGTCTGGGCTCTTCCATTGGGACGATTGGGCTTTGGTTTCGATATCATAACCATATACCCATGATTCGTCACCAGTTATGACCCTTTGAGTAAATCTGGGTCGTCGTTGACGTCATTCAACAGCTCTTGAGCGATGCTCATGCGACGGTTCTTTTGGTCAAAATTCAGCAATTTCGGAACAAACTTCGCTGACACACGACTCATACCCAAAACGTTTGAAAAAATTTCATGGCACGAGCCAAGCGATATACCGACATCTTCAGCAACTTCTCTGATAGTGATTCGACGATTTTCCAAAACAATTTTCGTCACTGCTTGAACGTTTTCATCAGTTGTTGACGTGCTTGGGCGTCCAGAGCGAGGCTGGTCATTGGCATCTTCCCGGCCATCTTGGAAGAGTTTGTACCACTTGTACACATTTTTTTTTACTCAGAACAGTTTCACCGTATGCCACTGTCAACATTTCAAGTGTTTCAGAGCACTTAATTTTATTTTTTACACAAAATTTGATGCAAATCCTTTGATCCATATTTTTCGATAGCAAAAAATCGCCGAGCTCGCAAAACAACTTGTAACTTTACGCCTCTCACAACCAAACAAAAGAGGATGTTCCATTGAAACTTGGTACAGATGTTAGGGAAGAGTGTACCAATATAACAAAACAAAAAAAACGATAATCGAAAATATGTTGCCCGAGAAATTTGAAAAGTCACCTTACTTTTTGAACACACCTCGTATACATCGCAATCCTGCAGAGTCCTGTACTCCTCCTGCAACTCCTTTTGCCACAAAAGCCGACGAGCCGGCACACCCACACGACGAGCCAGGTTTTTGGATAGATTGCACCTGCAACACCTGCAAGTAACGTGACTCTGTCTCCTCACCTGTCGAGCAATATCTTGGCAAAAAAAGAAGAAGATGGGGATAAAAAGGGGGCGGATTTTGTAAATCCCCTTTTTGCCTTTGCAGCTTTATGCACTCCCCCAAAAAAATGATGTTAAAAAAAGTGAAAAAGAAAATAAAACTAAAACCGTGTGAAGCGGATTCTCGCCTTTCCCTACCTACCACCTACCTACCTACCACATATATATATTTTTGACATGTTTGTTTTTTATGCAAATATCGAAATAAAGATTAGTTTTGTGCGGGATGCTCCTCGTCCTGGTAGTGGGATAAATCTTCTACCCACCGGAGGCGTGACTACTCTCTGCAGCATCCTTATATTTTGTTTTCTGCTTTCTTTTTTTGGCTGCGTATATTTATGCCCGAAACGCTTAACCAACTGACTGCGTTAGTCGTTGCGATTTAGTGCTAATGTGGCCCGGTCTTTTGGCCAACTCACCGCCCCTTAGTCACTGGCTGCTGAAATTTACTGTTTACAATTTGTTGGCTGATTGCTTCTGTTCTCCGCACGCTTTCCCTAAATTTATAGCCAGCGATAAGTTTTTCCTAGGTTTTCCCTGCTATTCTTTTTCGGTATTAGTGTATTTATTATAATGCTGTCTTCCATTTGTGCTGGCTGCATTATTATTTTGCTATTAAGCCGGACCTTTGCCATGTTGCTGGCTGCTCATGGCTGTGTGACTTTGTTATCTAGCGGATGGCGGTCATGTTTTCCAGCTGAATCTCTGGATGAATGTTGTTGCTCTTGACACTGCTGGCTTTTCTTCTGCTTTTTTCACCCTTTTACCCTAATGCAACATTTTAATTAAGTGCCAAAGGAAAATGGGATTTTCAGGGATGGGGAACGGCGGAATGGATAATAAATTTCTGGTTTTAACTTGTAAACTAAACAACTATTTCATTTTTCATGTAATTTTCCTCGAGTTTCTTGGCCGCAGTCGAGAAATCTGTTTATTATTCACCACCTTCTACACCATTTCCAACACTGATGACTTCCAGGTGTTTGGCAGACATTTTGTAAACGGAAAATAATTACGTACCCGAAGGCTGGAAGGTGGAAAATTTATGTACGCGGCGTATGAGTAATGTGCACTAGTTTTATCCCCAAGTCTACCAGTTACAGCTCCAACTTATAATTTACTACTGTCTGCCAGCTATTTTAGCTTGTTGTTTATTATTGTTGTTGTTGTTGTTGTTGTTTTGGGCTTTAGCTAGTTGTTTGCTGGTTGTTTATGAGGCCGCCAAAGGGAACCGCAAAATGTGTGAAAATTGCACACTGGCCGAGGTTGAACGAGGAGGAAAAAAGCAAAACCTGGAACATATTTTCGTTGATAGACCCCGGTTTTGGTTCTGGAAAACTACCCACCTACCACCTACCACCTACCATTTCCACAATGTCTCCATCCGTGCCCCAGGGACCTCACATTTAGTCTTTTTATGCGGCCAGCAGTGGCAACGTTTGCATTTTTAGTTGTTAATTATGCGAGTTGATTATGCTCTCTGTGCACTCTGGCGCCACGTAATTGGTGTGCATTTGATTTGTGGCAGGTTGCAACGCTCGCTGATAGACTCAAAAAGCAAGGGGAGGTGGCACCGCCACCCCACTACCCATATGGTGGAAGTAATTAGCGTAGTTTAGCGGCGACTAACAACCAAGCGAGTGAAGGTAAAAGTTCTGCACAAGACTAAAAAGCCAGGCCAAGGTAATTTGATTTACAAGCCTCGTTAGCTATTAACAAAAAGGGACTTCAAAAAATGATAATCAAGGAGAAATAATCAATAGTAGGGGGTTAGATCTCGCTTTCTGCTTTGGAAAATGCATTTTCCATACCCTTTTTGATAGATAAATTAAAGTTTTGTTTTCTTTTCTGTTTGCATTCTTCTTGTTAATAATTTCCAATAAATATTTCATAAATAAATCTAAGATTAGGTCCTCGAAATCAAAAGGCTAATGACTAATTAAGATGCTTTCATTCCCCATTTCCCCAAAAGAAAATCCAATAATCAAGTTATAAACATTGAAGGCTTTTGATTGAGCTATAAACCGAAAGCACTCTTAATTAATTTACCAAGACTTTGAATTCGGTTGAGGAAAACCCTACCAACCAGAGACCAACCATCGATCAATACATGTATATTGTATTGAAGTTGATTTACCAAATAATTTGCTGCTTTAATCTCATTAAAAGTTATAACTTTTCAGCCTTTCCCACGCTCAAGTCCCATTAGGGAGAACAAAATTTTTGTTATTGAACTTTTTGCTGTTTATAATTTTGGGGAAAACCAAAACCAAAAAAAAGAGTAAGGGAAATGTATAAATACTTTGGCCTGCTCTCAGTTTAAGCAAATTAGTTCAATTGCCTGGCTATCCAAGCCCATCCGCCTAACCGCCCCCGTCGCACAGACTTGATTAGGCTTAGAGAGCAAAAACTTTATCCTTTGCACAGTTGTAAATAAGCAAAAGTAAATTTTGGCAAGTAATTTAAGCCACACAAACAAGCTGGCAAATAACTTTCTACCGTCACCACCCCTGGGGGTGGCCCAGCCCCGGCCCAGCTCGCTGGTTTTTCGGGCTCCTCCTTCGGCAAAAGTTTACCATTTACGCCAACTTCTTTGCTCAGTTTTAATTCAAAATCAATGTATGAACGTAGTTTACATTGCGACGCATACTAAACGAAACTTTTTGTCTCTCTCGCTTACGACTCACGACTCTTTTCTTCCCAAACCGGAAAATAAAAGGATTCAGTTAGATGGCTAATACAAACTTTGTTTTCCCAGCACTTGGAGAAAAGTCATGTTTGTTATGACAAAAATATCATTTCTGTGCGTTATCCTTTTGAATTTTCATCGTTTCAGATACATCTAACCCTTGAATTTCCTCCAGTGGAAGCCCCATCGAGTGGAGTTCAATTAGGAAGCTGCACTCGATGGCCATAAATAACTGCACACACGCTGATGTCGATGACGGCATGGCACTTACCTTCATAGATGGTTAAAGTTGCATCTGCGGAAACGGCATCGCCCACTCCGTTCTCCGCCACACATTCATACGGGGCATCGTCGCGTCCCGCCCTTACGGGCTCAATCCGTAGTATGGAAATCCCGCCGGGTTGCTCCAGGACCGTATAACGAGACTGGGTACCTGCAAAAAAGAAAAACGAGTCACCGTTAAGTGGGCTTAAAGGAAGCCGGCTTTTTCGAAGGCAGAAACTTACCAGAAACTTTTTTGCCATTCTTCCGCCAGACTATCGATGGAGGCGGATCACCGCGGGCCGCACAATAGAAGCTAGCAACGCCGCCCACACGGACTCCCTGATTCTGCGGCTTCCTGATGATCTCCGGTGGATCTGTGGAGGGTCGTAAAAGAACATGGCAAATCTGGGTTACTAACTCGGCTTAAAAAGCGCTTCTACTTTGTGATGCCCCATACCCGGGTTAACAGATATTATTTTTGGGGATTAGATATTTTTGATGCCACATATGCTGCATGCTGGTTTACCCGCCGAACATCCTCCCTGCTAAGCTGTCTCGGTAAGCCTTTAAACAAAGAGTATTTATGATTTTATTTGGATTTATAACGAACACAGATATGTCCAAGAACTACGTTTGCGTTTAGTTTCGGTTTTTTATTCAGTTAAGAGCATTAAGTAGGCATTAAAGCTGAATTCATTTTCCATATAATGGGGAATCTCGCTTTTTCCTGGTTCCTGCCAGCGAGCGGGTGTTTTCATATATTCTTTTTACATATTTGTCACAATATGCTGTCAATACAACGTCGCATGTTGTTTGCCCACACACACTATGCTACACCCTCAACGTAGTACGTGCCTCGTGAGTGAGTATGTGTGTGTGTATGTGAGCCAAAAAGGATACCATAGCAGGATAGCAGGATTGCGGGAAAATAGGGAAGCCAGGCGGTGGCAGGGAAAACAGATGTGTGGCATTAAAAATCTGGCAAAAATCACGAAACGTTAAACAACCAGCAAAAATATTGTCATGTGCATGTTGCATGCTGCAATAGCATCATGTCCTGCCTTCTGTCATGAGGACGAACGAACGTACGTACGTACGTATCCTTTCGACCCAGAACGTAAAGTAGTTTACCCAACATATCAATTCGATTTATGATTTTCATTTTAATTCACTTTTTTCTTCTTCTTTCATCGGATTTTGATTGAAATTAAATATATATATATGTAACTATATATTTAACGGGCGATGCTGCCACCTCTTAGGCCGCGGCCTGACTTACGTGTGAGATATTGTATATATGGTATATCCGAATAATTTGCATCTGTAAATGGGCAGCAGACCGGTTAGTAATGACGTTTACGTAACGCGCACGACGACTAATTTGCTTTCGATTAACGCGAATTATGTAACGTTATAGGTTTGGTTGTCTTGTTTATTGAATTTAACTCGTTGTTGGTTAGTTTAAGTGCAAATTATAGAACAAGGAACTTAAATGTAATGGATATCCTTAGAAAAGGCTTAGATACGAACTTAGTTAGCCTAAGAAGGCAGCTCTAATGACTCCTTTAGATAAATACTTACTTAAAACTGTTTTAAAGTATTTTGTTTTGATATTAAGCACAGACCTAATAATATCCCTACTTACATTATTTATACTAATTGTTAATATTTCTAACTTAAAATCTAAAAATCAAGCAACTAGGAAATGCACTTAGTAGCCAATCGCTCACTGGCAACTAAGTAATATTGATACACTGACCCCCAGAGCCAGAAAAATAATACACTTCTCCGCCCTCCTACCACTTAAAAGGGCAAGAAACTCGTGGACATTGTCCCCCGTCTACCATCTAAGAGTATTCTAAATAATTTAAAGTTTTCCTTCGGCTACCTCTTTTTGTGGGCAGACCATTTTGGTAGCCAAAGCCTGGCCATAATAGAGGCTGCAGTCAGTAGTAGTCTGTGTATCATTTACCAAACTTTCCCAGCTCAACTTTGGTCGGACAAGTTTTTGTGGCCACGTTGCCAGTGCAGCAATAAGTTAGCAGGAATAAAGAATACAGGCAATTTGTCAAATATTTTAATCAATTTAATGATTTACTTTCTTGCAATTTTGCATAAAAAAAATTCAACCAAGTTAGCTTGCCGAAAGGCAAATCTAATTTTGCCACCTAGAAAAATTGTTGCTTTTGCTCATTAAAAACGGGAAAAAGGACGAAGGCAAAAGAAGGGAAATCCGAATGATACGTCTTGCAATCCCACAAGATGATGATGATTTGCCGGCGTGCGTTTGCTAGATTTGCTGGATTTGCGTAGCACTTGAAAGCATTTTACGCTTACGTTAACAGTTTTTATGGCCATGGCTGAGAGATAGAGAGAGAGAAAGCTGCCAGCAATAAGCATATTGGTTTTTGTGGCTGTAATGAGCTCCGCCGCTACTTCTGCCCAACAACTTCACAGGCGAATGCAAATTCTCAGTAAATATTTCTTTTTGCTCGCATTTGTAAAGTTTTATGTTTGCTTAAACAATTTGATGGCATGGCAATGGCTAAAGGCAGAAGCACAAAATTGGAAGACAGACACAGACAGACAGGCGTTCAAGACACTTCCGTGCCGACTCATAAAAAGCGTATCATTAAGGCCATAAAACAGGGATTTTTGTTTATTTGCCGGATTGCCAACACTGTTCTGTGTGTTGGTTTAAGGCCGAAATACAGAGATAAAATTTAAATAAATTTAATTATGTTTGTGCTATTTGGCGGCTTCATTTCTTGTTGCAAAGATTAAAGGCATACCAAATGAAATTTGTAGATTACATAGATACACAGCCGCAGGCTATAAATGGGGTGAATATTTCTGGTGGGTGGTGAGCAAATCAAGGAATCTGAACTGCAGCTCGCGTGCAACTTTTTGCTGATTTTTCATTTCGCACGTTCGGCTGTGGGGTGGGGAGGTGGTTGTGGGGAGTAAAGAGGAAAACTACAAAAAGAAAAGCACTGGCAACGCAGTCCACATTGAGCAAACAATTTCGTTGTTGATATGTGCAAATTGATTTGAGCGTTTGAAATGTGCAGTTATAGATACACACACTCACACTCACATCCTTACACCCAACCCCCACACATCGCAGGGCACAAATACCAATACGCGCATTCAAGCAATTTATATGGAAATTAATACTAACATTTTTACTATGGCCCCTACGAAAAAGAAAAAAGGAGCAAAAACCATGAAATAGAAAATTCGAATTGATTTTATGAAAAATAAAAAAATATATTCCATAAGCTTATCGTCCAATCAGGGGCGTAGTTAAATAGAACTGAAAAACAGGGTCAGACAAAACGAGAACGGGTTAAAGTGCAAATTGAGTGATGAAAGTGATAATGGGTTAAGTGGCACATAAAACAATGATATAGGGAGCTGGGAATTAAGTGGTCTGCTCTAAATTAAAGGTAAATATCAAACAAGGTGTCTACTTTGAATATATTTTAAGCAAGGAGTGACTTTTATATACATAACCTAGTGAATGTGGAATGTTTATTATTTAAATGCGATTTCCACTCAAGCATTTGAAGTTGAAGCTGAAGCTAACAAGCAGAATCAGCTTTTTGTAAGCTTAAATTAGATTTACTTAAGGTAAGCAATGAATTCATTAGGTCTTCCCGTAAGTTTATGTCTGTAAATATTTCTAATTTAATCTAAGGAAGAAGATAATGAAAGCAACATTTACATATCTATTTAAAAACTCTACCTTTACAAACTGCTAACTCCAACCTGCCACAGAACCCACTAAATTACGCCAAATATATGATACGTCTGTTCCCTTTCACCGCCACCGCTGTACTCCCCTTTCCCTCTTTTGTAACCCCCTTTAAATTATACCCATAACTTTTGGCCCCATTTTCCAATATGCCAAAATGCTCATAAAAATTGACCCCGTGTGGCATTCACGGCAAAAAAGGAAATATGCCTCAATCTCTACTTTAGCTGGGATGTGGATGTGTGTGTGCGGTATATATATACACATCCAGATATATATATAAAATCAGCATATGCTGGATGTAATCGTAAAGTATGCAGCTGGGTTTTATGGCCCCAGGCCTAGTTAGGGCAAAAACTTCAAAGTTAGGCCTCTCCTGCCCGCAGCGTCTACATTCTGGCAATTTATGCTCGAAGCCAGAATTTCAGAATATACGAGTACTGCTACCCCACATCAAGTGTACGGCTTTTTAATAAGTGCAAAGTGCGAGTGGGTAACATTTCATGGGGCCAAAAAAAAACGAAAAGGGTTTCCCTGCTGGAGGTTGTAATGGAAACGCTTCCACTGCAAATAGTCATAAGATGCTTCTCTGCAGAGGAAGGATGAGCTGCTAAGCTGCTTGCCGGTCTTTATAAGACCCTATATATAGGGTTATATATACATACATATGTATGTTGGGGACAAATCATTTGGCAGACAGGAGGAAAAACAGGAAAAAGATGCCTTCCCAAAACGAGAAGATGAGCCGAACGGGTCGTTTCCACTGACTGACAGCTGCAATTCACCTGTCAGCATCAGAAGCGTTTTCGTTTCGTTTCGTTCTACTGAATTGCATTGAAATACGATGCTAAATTTAACGATTCATTGCATTTTCCACTCTTCAGCCTCCTAGGCACTTTCCTCCCTCCAACTTCCACTTCCTCGACTCAAACTATGGGCAAATTGCAACTCTGTGTGTGTTTGGCACAACCAACCTCTCTTTCTTTCTCGCTCCTTAACCTCCAATCCTCAATCCTCGACCCCCATGTTGTATTTTTAATGCGGCAACTTTGGCAAAGCATTGCTAAATCTGCTGAGTCTAAGGAACACGGAGGGGGAGAGGAAGGAGTGAAGGAGGATCTGCTCCTTCGGGATGCTACAAATAAAATACTTATAAAAGCGCAGCATAGTTTTACACTCGAGGATTTTTATAGCCAAACGCCCTCGTGCCCCACCCCCTACACCCCCTTCTGAGCTGTTGCGTATGCAACTAAATTTTAATGTTACTTGAAAGAGTAATAAAAATAAACTTTACGCCAGTTGAGAAACACCGAAGCAAAGGCAGCCAGCGATTATGACTCCAACTCTGTCCAAAAGTATGCAATGGAAAATTTTAATTAAATTGCAAAAAGGACGAGAAAACGTATATTTCCTGGACTCCCTGCAAACTCTGGCGGCTGGGCTTTGGACAAAGTGTCAAACGAAACGCACGGGGCAATTCATCATGGCGAATCGATAACAACAAAATAGAAAACTTTCGGGATAAAGTTCTAGAAAAGGCCTACGTCGAATTGTACGGTCAGTCAGGCATATAAATGATGCGGGCCAAAATGTCGGCATTGATGCCATTAATCAAAATTAAAAGCGTATTTCACTTTCTAAAAACACTCTAAAGAAAAACAGAACATATTAAACAGAATATAATAAAAAAGTTAAGTTTGTTTATATTTGAGAACCACTTTCACTCTTACAAAGCCCCAAACTTAAACCGAAAGTGAAACATTTTATTTTAAGTGCATTTTAGTGTAGCAAAAACGTACCTTGTCCAAGCTGACATTGATGTAAAGGTGATAAAAAGTATATTACTTAGAAGGCACAATTTTAAGATGATTATTTTGTTTACCCAACTTCCGATGAACAACCCTTTCGAGAAGTTTATTGAAAAGATGGAAACTTCAAGCAGCTGTCAACTGTCAAGGCAAACCCAGATGCAGATATTCCAAGGAAATTGTCACATTAACTGGGGTTTCCAAACAAGCCAAATGGCAACTAGGCCATTTACTATCAAGCTGGTTGTTTGATGCATCATCAAATATTTATGGATTGTCAATTAGAGAAAATTCCGTCCATTTCGTTTGCAAGTTAGTTAGTTATCGACTGTGTTGATTGGCTTTTCAATATTTCCCGGTCTGACCCACTTAACTCTTCATTTAAATATCCATTAAAAGGCTTAGCAAAAGTTTACGGCCACAACTTTCAGCCCATAACTCGTAGCCACAACTCTGTCCCTCTCTCTCTCTCTCTCTCTTTCGGCCAGTTCCTGTTGCCAAAAATGACTTGGCAAACTCACACGTTTGTGTATGCATTAAACTGTATAAACTAACCAACTGGTTGGCCAAACACAAAATCCCAGCAAGCATTTTCCGACCAATGCCAGCAGCCAAAAAAAAAAAAAAAAAGAAAAAACTGAATATACGAACAATTTTCCATGACATTTTAATATAATTAGTTTTTGCTTCTAGCCTAATGTAAAGTTGTGGCCAAAAAATTGTCAACACGTGCAAAGAGGGTTGAGAATGTGGAAT